CTGCCTGGGCCTATAGAAACTCACTTTAGCACAAAGAAGTTGAAAATGAAAGGACAAAAGAAGATATCCAAAATAATAGGAACTAAAAGCTCTAGTAGTTATACTAACATTATACAAAATAATTTGAAATTCAAAAACTGTTATGAAACAAAAAGTTCAAGCTATCAATAAGAGTGACCTCTTGGAAAAGGCCTGACAGCTCAGCCAGAAAAGGCACTTGCCACCAAGACTGCTAATCGGTTCCACCGCTAGGGACCCACATGGTGGAAGGAGAGACCCAACTCCCAAAAGTTGTCCTCTACCCTCCACAAGAATGCGAACATGCACACACACACACACACAAATAAATTGAAAAAAATTTTTAAGAGTGAAAAATGCAAGGAAGATGCAACAAATATATACTGAGCAACAAGGTCATACCATATGTGAACAAAACATTAATAAAACTAAGAGAGAAATAAAGTTTTATATTCATGGTTGGGAATTTAAGTTAGTAGAACATTGAGATGGAAAGTCACTAAAGACACAGAAGACTTGAAAACCACTATAAACCAATAATCAACAGAACACTCCACCCAACATTAATAAAATATACTTTTTCAAAATATACATTCTTTTTCAAAATATACACTCTTTCAAGTGCAAACCGAGAATGCAAATGAATCAATATTATCAAATCTGAGAACTAGACAGAGAAAACACCAATTTTCTATGATGACATAAAATAATTAAATTCTCAAGAAGACTAACAGGCTATATGTATTTCTAGAGCAGATTCTACCAAGATTTAAGAAAGTCCTGAGACAGATAACCTGACATATTTCAAGAAGTGCTTCTATAAAGTAGGTCCTTCTTCCTTTCACAATGACTGAGCACCATTTTATACACCTTTATGGAAGGGATTCTATCACACAAGACACAAGAGAGGAAAAGTTTAAAAAAAAAAAAAAAAAGGGAGGCTGAACTGAATTATTATTTTAATGTATGTGTCTATGTGTGTATGTCACGTGTGTGTGGTTGCTCAGAGGCCAGACGAGGGTGCTGGATCCCTTGTAGTTGAAGTTATAGGCTATTCTGAGCCACCAAACTTAAGTACTGGGAACTGAACTTGGGTCCCCTGGAAGAGAAGCAAGTTCTCTTAAGCACTGAGCCATCTCTCCAGCCCCTGGAGTAACATTTTAGAAATCACTGTGTTGGAGGGCAGCAGAAAAATGAAAAATCATCTGGAAACTAAAGCATCTGACATTTTCAAGAGAAAAATAAACAAGGAAAGATGATACTATTCCACAACTGTTCCCGCTGTTTGTCAAGTGCTGCAGTCAACATTATGTGTTTTGCTATATGGTGTACTACAAAGTATACATCATCTATGTCTATGAAGTTGCCACTGCAAAATAATTTATAGTCTGAATCTAACCATGTGGGGAAAATCAGACTAATGCAGAATGTAGGATATTCTGAAACTACTTCTGAAAAGATCAATGTCAAAGGGGGGTGGGGGAGAATGAATGGTCCAAGCCAGTTTAAATAAAATAAAGAATGCAAAAGGCCAAATGTGACTATTCCTTAGACACTTGAACATCCCCCTTGGGAGACAGGCACTAAAGTGTTCAGAATGAAATAGTTCAGCAAGCATGCATACATACACACGTGTGTGCAGGCATCCACATCCTTGTTTATAGGGGAAGGGAAGTTTCCAAAATGCTAACAACTTGTATATGAAAAAAACTTGTGTTTAAACTTTACATTTTACATCCTTTTCAATGTTCAACAACTTAATGAGTAATCGCAGTTCTGGAACCTGGAGGGAAATTATAAAATCTTACCATAAGGGCATTTCTGGTAATCTCTGCATCTGGGAGGTAAAAGCTGAGACAGGAAGATGCCGAGTTTAAAGCCAGCCTGGGCTTCATAACATCAAAAAAAAAAAAAAAAAAAAAAAAAAAAATCCCCAAAAAAAAAAATTAAAATTTAAACACTGAGGTTAATACACAGAACCTCTGACTACATAATGCATCACTGTCCCTTAATAAGCATCTCCTTTGAAAAAGAATCAAGTTTTTCTGTGAGGCTGATTTTGGCATTTCAGATACGCTAAGACATATCAAAGAAGAATCAAATATCAAAGAAGAATCAAGCCACTTGGAGGCTCTCAAAATTAATGCTGTGTTCTTGTTCATCCATTAATATATTGGCCCCAGAAAACCAAAACTGACAGGACTACTTCACTGGATCCAGTAAACATTAGAGCTACAGAGGTTTATCATGAACCTTACATATCCCCAAATTGGAGAAAGTCAGCAAGAACAGAGAAGCCTTGCACCACTCTTCTTGTGGCCCTCTAAAACAGTTCTTTCTACAAGAAAGTCAAATGTACTTCTCTCTTTAAGTTACTTAAACTCAAAATAGTCTGTTGTATATTGACCAGAGTTACATTTTAAGACCTGAATGAATCAAAAGTGATTCTTAGCCATATTAAGACAGTGGACCATTTAGACAATGGACCACTTAAGACATGGGACCTATAAGGAGGGTATGTGGTCATGGACACACTGGTCTCAGAAAGGATTGATACTGTTCTCTCAAGTTAGGTCTCCCGAGAGCAAGATGTTACAAAGCAAGGCCTTTTAGCCCCTTCTGCACAAAGACAAATCTCTTTCCATTTCTCCATCATACTTGATATACCAGAGGGCTCTAACCAGAAGCAAACAAATGAGGGTCACTCAATCATGAACATTCAGTCTCCCAAAATACAAACTTAGCAAACCTCTTTTCCCTACAAGTATTCAGCCTATGAGCATTTTGTTATCACAAGAATAAAGATGTACCATTACAGTAAAAGCATCTAGCTAGCCTTAGTATTAAAACAAGGCCCGATGTAGGTAACATGTTCAGTTATTTCTCTGGGTTTCATTAATACTGAATGTGTCAATTATGTCCATTTCATATCTAATGATTTTTTTATTTCTTGCCTTTGATCTGCTGTACCATTCATTCCTAATTAACAATAATAAAAGTACGCTTTTTCTAAATTGCCCCAAGAATCTGGAGAGCCAGGCAACATTTGTAAAGCTCAAATTACAAAAAAAAAGAATGTCTTTTTATCTACACACACACACACACACACACTCTTTAGCATTTTCATTTGTGGAAAAAGTGACATGAAAGCACCTAATAACTTTAAGAGTACTGACCCAGGCAACAATTCTAAAATATTGTCAATACTGAAGTATTTCACATGCAACCTGTTTTCCAAACACAAAGCTGACGTACACATACACAAAAGAACATATATAAAGAATACATGATACCATATTTTACAGCACTTACACAATGAGAGGTGTTCTAGTTTGGTTTTTGTTGCTGTGATAAAACACTGACCAGAAGAAACTGGGGGAGGAAAGGATTTATTTGGCTTACACTTCCATGTCACAGTTCATCACTGAGAGAGAAGTTGGGAAGGAACGTGGAGGCAGAAACTCAAGCAGAGACCATGGAGGATGCTGCTTATAGGCTTCCTTCTCCTGGCTCGCTCAGCTAGCTTTCACGGTCCAGATCCAAGAGCCCAGGGACAACACCACCCACAGTTGGCTGGGCCCTACCACATCAATCAGCAATTAAGAAAATGCTTCACAGAAATGGCCACAGGCAATTCCTATGGAGGAAATTCTTTTAATTGAGGTTCCTTCTTCCCAGGTGATGCTAGTTTGTGTCAAATTGACAAAAGCCAACCAACACAAGAGAAAAATTGGTATGTTTGAAATGATATAGTAATAAAACATATTAAAGTTTTTAAATGAATATGAAATCTGGAGAAGCACTAGACCCATCGACTCAAAAGCACATCATAAATTCTAAACATCTATCTTGTGATCTCACTTTTTAAATTTTTCTATTAACAGTTTAGAAGCAATCATGAAGGAAACAAAGGGAGGGGATTTTTATTCAGCTCTAAGCTAATCTTTATTATAAAAAGAGTCTAAGGCAGTAGAGATGTTGAGTGGGTCAAGGCACTTGTTAAGCAAGCCCTGTCACCTGGGTTGGATCCCTGGAACCCAGGTGAAGGTGTAATGAGAGAACTCATCTCAAGAAGTTGTTCTCTGACCTCCACATCACATGCATCAGAGCATGCGTGCAAACACAGACATAATCACACACACACACACACAGAGAGTAATAAAACAAAAATATTGTAGCTTTATAAGGATGAAATAAGTTGGCAGGAAACCTATTGAATGGCAAAACTTTATTACCACCACAGCATGCTGGCCTCCAAAGAGTTATAGAAAGACAATAACACTGAAGGAAAAATGTTTAAAACATAGACACTAAATTCTAATCAAATACAGTTCAAAATCTGGGCTGTGGGAACAGTATGCAAACACACTAGGGTAGGGTGATATGAAAGCTCTGTAAGGACAGTGTCCATTTGCCTTGCTAAAGGAAAGCACCATCAGGTGACAGATGCCTAAGGCCTCTGGCTTTGCATTAGTCTATGTTTCATCCATTCCTAAAGTGACAAATCACAATAATCAAAACACAGCTTCAGACTCTAAAGACATACTACATTCTGTCAAGAACTCCAGGCTGCCCGTAATAAGTTGCTCCTCTGTAACTGGAAATAGTATCCTCCAGCAGCTTAGGGCATGTTCTCAGTGGATAAACTGATTATTACAGCCAAGAAAGCTCAAGAGAGGACAGAGAACTTGATTAGGTGGGTTGAATATAATGGGAAGAAAATTTCAGAAGACCACAAATGCTAAATGCCAAATAAGAGGGCTAAAGCAAAATAAAGAAAACAAAAATGAATAGAGTTCCCTGAAATAACTCAGCAACATTTCAAGAAGCAGCTAGAACCTGAGATTGATTAGCAGAGAAAAAAAATAGTCCAACACAGTGAAGCTGCATGGCCATAAACAGATTCCTCAAACCATAGCACCAAAGGGCATGGGCTCTCCACACATCACTGCCAACCAAGAAGGCTTGGCCTGCACACTTACTGCCATGTATGGCCTACACCCAGCATCTCTTGTCTTGGCAATGGAGTCCACCAGCTGTCCACTGATGCCAAAGTCACAGAGTTTAATATTTCCACTTCTGTCCAGAAGAATATTTGAAGGTTTGATATCTGCAAGATACACATTCTACTCAGTACACAATTAATCAAATAAGCTGTAATAAGTACCACTGTTCTGTAAAGAACCACAAGCAATATTGAAAATTTTGAGTTCTTAAATTCAGATATATAAGAAATAAACCTTCATATAGCACATGGCAAGCAATATTCATGTTTTAAATACACGTTATGACTAAGGCTGGGAATGACTGCTTATATCTGTAATCCCAGCACTCAGGATGCTGTGGCAGGTGGATTGCCATGAGTTTTGAGTCCAGCCTGTACTACATAGTAAGAACTTGTCTGTGAAATCTAAAAAGAGAAAAGAATTTTAACAGTTAAATTCATTTCATGATTATAATTTAATAAGCCAAAAGACAGGAATGGAGGTTTTCTTTTAACATCTTCACACTTATAAAACACAAAATTGAGCCAGGCATGATGGTGCACTCCTATAATCCCAGCACTGGGGAGACAGAAGTGGGCGGATTTCTGTGAGTTTGAGGCCACCCTGGTCTACAAAGTGAGTTCCAGGCCAGCTGGGGCTACAGGGAGACCCTGTCTCAAAAAAATAGGACAAAATAAAAATAAAAAAAAATAGAACACAAAATTATGATTTTTCAATAGTCAGAATGGAAGAATGAATTTATCAGAGACTATACTAAGCTGGTCTTCAAAACCCGCTAACAATTATGCAACTAAATATAAGTTAAAAATAAAATACATATTAAAAATAAGGAATAGATATTATAAACCCCCAATTTCATTAAGTGTAGCTTTAACATAGGAAAGTATCACATGACATTATTTATTCTCAATCAATACAGCCACTTAATTAGTTCTTATAAGATTTATTTTTAGTTATGTGTATGTATATATGTTTGTGTGAGTATATGCCACATGCATACAGTACTCTCAAGAGGCCAGAAGGAAATTTTGGATCCCCTGGAACCTAGAGTTACAGGCAGTTGTGAGCTGCCTTACATGAGTTCTGATAATGAAACTCGGGTCCTCTCCAAGAGTACCAGGTGTTCTTAACTATGGAGCCATCTCTCCAAGTCCCTAATTTTTTTTTTTTTTTTCAAATGTTAAATGGCTTCTTCCACTTTCTCCCAACCAACTTATTCCTGGACTTACCCCTGAAAAATGAGACTCATTTCTATGACTTTCAGAAGAGGGATGCTTTCAAAACTCAAAATGAAGAAAGCCAAATCTCTTCTTCACTGACAATCACTACCAGAATGTGCCAATCAGCTGCTGGTCCCTTTTAATTCTCTATCACAATCCTCCTATTTAAGTGTCAATACCATGGACAAAAATGAGTAAAGATTTATAAATATAGGACACAGAAAATATCTGTATAAAACTCAGAAGAATCTAGTAAAGGTCCCCTACCATTTGTTTTTAAGAGGTTAAGATTCATATGTGTGTGTGTGTGTGTGTGTGTGTGTGTGTGTGTGTGTGT